CAGGGGGAGAATCCTTCACCAGAAATCTCATCACCTCCCTTCTTTGAGTTTGAATCATCAGTGTCTACTCCTTTACCTATGTCAGTGTATCCTCCACCTGGTCCTGTTCCTCCTGTGTCTGTTTCTCCTTTGTATGTTCCTCCTGTGTCTGATCCTCTTGTGAGTAATCCTCCTGTGACTGATTCTCCTGTGATTGATACATCAAGTACACCAGAGATACGAAAGATTATGACACCTGAAAGAAGGAAACAACCCACATTGTCTCAGCAGCAACCTCAATCGTCTGAACCACTGGTAAGTCCTGAATCTCATATTTCTGATCATGATGTTAATACTTCTGATGACTTACCCATTACTACTGATTCTGATGATTTACCCATTGCTCTTAGAAAAGGAAAAAGAGCTTGTCCCAAGAAATCTTGTCCCTGCTGTCCCTCTTGTACTCAATACCCTATCTCCCAGTTTGTTTCCTCTGCTAATCTTTCTGTGCAGCACAAAAGCTTTGTTTCAGCACTAGACTCTATTGCAATCCCAAAATCAGTACATGAAGCCTTGAAAGATAGGAATTGGGCTCAAGCCATGCAAGAGGAGATGAATGCATTGGAGAAAAATAAAACATGGGAGGTTATTGATAGACCTACTGGAAAGAAAGCAGTAGGGTGCAGATGGGTTTATGCCCTGAAATATAATTCTGATGGAACTCTTGAGAGATACAAAGCTCGATTAGTTGCCAAAGGTTACTCTCAAACCTATGGCATTGATTATGAAGAAACATTTGCTCCAGTTGCAAAGATGAATACGGTGAGAGTTTTGTTATCCCTTGCTGCCCATTACAATTGGGATATAAACCAATTTGATGTGAAGAATGCTTTCCTCAATGGTGAGTTAGAAGAAGAAGTCTACATGGAAATTCCGCCTGGTTTTGATTCTGTGAAGGGAGAAAATAAAGTTTGTAAATTAAAAAAGGCCTTGTATGGATTGAAGCAGTCACCTCGTGCCTGGTTTGGAAAGTTTACTAAGGTTATGATGACCTTAGGATATAAACAAAGTCAAGGAGATCACACTCTTTTTTTCAAGCACTCCCAAAATGGGAAGCTTACTGTGCTCCTTGTATATGTTGATGATATTATTATCACAGGTGATGATTTTGTGGAGAGACAGATTCTGCAAACACGGCTTGCCTCTGAGTTTGAAGTCAAAGACCTTGGGAAACTGAGATATTTCCTAGGGATAGAAGTAGCTCATTCGAGCAAAGGAATCTTTATCAGCCAGAGGAAATATGTTCTTGATCTTCTCAAAGAAGCAGGAAAGCTTGGGCGTAAACCCTCTAATACTCCTATTGAGCAGAATCACAAGATGGGTTATGAAGAGGAGAGTCCTCCAGTTGATAAAGGACAATATCAACGGCTAGTTGGGAAATTGATATATTTGGCCCATACTAGACCAGACTTAGCTTATGCTGTTAGTGTTGTCAGTCAGTTTATGCATGATCCAAAGGAGAAACATATGCAGGCAGTAGAGAGAATTCTTCAGTATCTGAAAGGTACTCCTGGTAAAGGGTTGTTATTCCGACGTGATGGCAATCTATCTTTAGAAGTCTACACAGATGCTGATTATGCTGGATCTGTGACTGACCGTCGTTCTACCACTGGTTATTGCAAGTTTCTTTGTGGTAACTTGGTGACATGGAGAAGTAAGAAACAAGATGTGGTCGCCAGATCAAGTGCAGAAGCTGAATTTCGAGCTATGGCTCAAGGCATTTGTGAGTTACTGTGGCTGAAAATTGTACTTGATGATCTAAAAATAAAATGTGAGGGACCTATGAAGCTGCTATGTGATAATAAGTCCGCTATTTGTATAGCTCATAATCCAGTTCAACATGATCGGACTAAACATATTGAGGTCGACCACCATTTCATCAAATAGAAACTTGATAGCGGGTTGATTACCACTCCATACTTTCCCACTGGGCGTCAATTAGCTGATCTATTGACAAAGGGGCTTCCTTCAGATAGATTTCAAGAACTTGCTAGCAAGCTGGGAATGATAAATATCTATTCCTCAGCTTGAGGGGGAGTGTTGTAAATAGTAATTATGTAGTCATTTATTAGTAATTATGTAGTCATTTATTTGTATTAAATAGTAATTATGTAGTCATTTATTTGTATTTATTTAGTCCGTTACTTGTATATTGGGCCAAGCCCATTAGGTCAAAATTAGGTCAAGAAGTCTCTATAAATAGAGACCCCTATGTACAGATTCAAATACTCTTTATTGAAACCGAACAATCACGCAATTGCAAAACAAAAAAGAGAGAAGTGAAAAAAAATGAATATATAAAGTTATCGTGATACTCAATAAGGGGTTACGTCTAGCAATTTTTCATTATGTTCTTCACATTGCAATTGTTACTAAAGTACTTTGTTTAATTACCCCCCAAAAAAAGACACTCTAATTTTACAATAAAAATATAAATAGACTTACAAACCCTAAGCAATAATAACTATTTATGAGAGAAAAAATAAAATAAATCCAAAACTCACAACAATATCAGACCTATATAGTCTTAACTCCTGAGAGCTACTCCACATTTTGTTGGGGACTTTTTTTTGACTTTCTCTGCGTCCCGTCAACAAAAATCGTCATCTGATTGTGAAATATGAGTGATATTTAACAATTTTTATCTAATATTTTAAATTTTTGAGTTGAATTGATTATTTACAATAATTATTGTAATTCTAACATGTGTTAATTTTATAATGAGATATATCTTCTCTTTATTTTCTTAACAAAAATATAAAAAATTTATTTTAATTTTGTATTATAATAAATTGTTAGTTTGATAAAATTCACTAAGAACCTATCATTCGTTTAAAATACAATATGACTGTCAATCTGTCATATATAAAAGAATCATAGAAGTTTTCTTGTAAAATAACTTGTCATTATTTGTGTAAAATGGTTAGCCGAGATATGCCGATTTTGGATTGATGTATGTCGAACATGTTGAATTGTGGCTTAGCCCAAAGAGGTCTCCCATTACCGCTTAACAAAAATCTATAAACTCAGCATATGGAATGGATATCTTTTTCTCTAATAATATGATAATCTTTACTTTAAAAAGAGAGAGGAAAATACAAAACAAAAACAAGTATCCAAATCCTTTCAACACAATCCATTGAGCATACTACGTCAATTATAGTACTAGTTTTAAATCATTAAACCCATTATCAAATCGAACCTAACTAACTCCACAAGACCACAACAAACTTTTAGCATAAGTGTCAATCTGGGTCGAGTTACCCTTTTGGACTAGGCTAGTGAGTTCACTTTAGTTTCAATTCGTAAATTATTAACTTATTTTTAAGCAAGCAACGCGTTATTGTCGGCAGCAACTTTTTAAATAATTATTATTTGAATCTAAGAATATTAATTTTAAATGATTTATTTAATTATATATATTTAAAGACTTATATTAAAATATTTAAAATAATTCTTTCTTAAAATGAATTTTTGTTATAAATGGCATTTAAGGAAATTTAATCTTAAAAAAATAATGTTAATAAATTAGTAATTAATGTTGACATTTTTTGGACTTAATCTCGGTTTGCTCCATGAGGATCAAATTGAGTCAGGTTAAATAAATTTAGGTTTTAGTGTTGTTAACTTAACCCATTCATTTTGTCTAGTTATTTCTACCTGTCCAAGTTTGCCCATTTCAACATCCTCTTAAGCCGTACGTAATACAGCTACAATGCAGCCATTAGAACCAGTGAATTAACCAAGCCACGGAATTATTTGGCATAGATTGCAGGAAAAATTGATAAAAATTCAAAGGGAAATGTTATATGGTAAATTATGTTAATATTAATAACCAGAATTTTGATATAATTTAAGGATAGTCGTTGGATGAGATGAAACATAGTAATAAGAACTAAGAACCACTCACGGCTCACCCACCTAACAGTCAAACAATTATGCCCCATCATTTTGACCAAAAATTCTGTTTAAAAAAATTAACGCTCAACATTTTTCAAATTCAAAATTGTATTCGTGTAGAAAGACACAACTTTTGAATTAGCTATAAGCAAGGATGGTCACATTCTAATACTTTAAAAAAAAAAAAAAAAAAAAAATTAAGATGTGAATAAACCGTGGGATATATTTTTCTTATGTTGTACGAAAAGAATTACCTTATGTTGTAGAAACAAAAGTATAAGTGAGACCCACATGTAAGAGGAGAGAGAAAAAAAAGTGATGGGACCCACCTCTTTTTGTGTGTGTAGGAGAGATGTTTATCTCATGTAAAATGAGATAAACATAACCCATAAACCATTCATTAGCCAGATATATTTTGAAGAACATGATTAGCAACCTAAAGATTTGGACGCACACCAAATAAAGTACGAACAAAATTTGCAAAATTAGTCTTCAAAGGCACCACATTGAACAAATATATCGTCAACACGAAACAAAATTGAAATCAGAAGAACATGACGAGACTCAAAGAAAGACATGACGAGACTCAAAGAAAGGGATATCAACCAGCCACCATTAATATATAGCTTGCATATGCTCGAAAGACGCTTCGCCCATGTTAACTATGCCTATCTCTAAACAGAAGATATATGAATAAAAAATACATGGATCACTTCCCATTCAGATATATGCATCTTACATTCAGATATATGAAGGGATTAATCTTCATCTGTCAATTGGGGACTACCCTTGAAACAATCCAAAAAAATAAACCATTCTCAAATTAAGACATGACACACTACAATTAGCGAATAACTACTAGTGGAAGATAGGCAAGCATAGAATTGAAAACCTTCTTGTCAATGCGTCATAGTTGCTGGAAACAATTTTTTAGTTTCCGTAACGCACTTGAGTCAGACCCTTTTTTACTATTCTCTCAAATCTTAAAAATACAAATTCAGCTAAGTAGGCACTAACAAAAGGAGAGCAATGTTTCTTTGTGAATTGGTATAAAGAGGCGGGTATTTAAATAGTCAAACATCAGCTCTGCTTCTTAATATTGTACTTAGAAGATACAATTAAGTTGTCCTGGCATCATCTTTTTTACAGAGGTATAGAAATGACTAAAATACATAGTAATGGTGATTGCATAAAAAGCTATAGGGTACACAAACCAATTGCCCAAAAAAAACTCCCAGCAAAAGATGACATCCTCCAAATTCTAAATTTTCTTCACAAGCCGTATAATATACCAACAGAGTATTCAGGAATTTCTGCTGACATGACCAAAAAAACCTCCCTATTCTCTGTGGTTATTTCAAAGTGCCGCCTCTCTTGCATTCTCTCAAATCACTAGGTATAATAAATACAGAATCAACACAAAGCCCACCTTTAGAGTGTGTACAATCAATCTGTTTCATGGAGAATCTAACTTTGGTTGTAGGTTCTGATCCACTCACAATAAACTCACCGACCTTGTAATCTACCCAATATCCACGCTTATGATTGCCATATGTATCATCATGATCAGTTTCATCCAAGCAGCACTCACATGATGCTTGCTGACCATCCAAAGTTGACAACTCAAATCTCACCGGTTTTATATCCCAACCATGGGTCTGTTCATAATTGCAAATGCGCCGTCCAAGCCTCTTGGAAAATCGTCCAACGTGAAGCCTAAAGGAGAGAGTATAAATATCGGCAGGAAATGGAAAGTTGACCTCCCCATCCACTTCAAACCACCATATTTGCTGCAAATATGCTACAGTATTGAACCTGAAATGAATGAATAATAGAAATGTAACGCAATACTCAGAATTGAATGCTGACAGATAAAACATACAATTTGCATAAAGAAGCACAAATAGCATATAAGATGTAAGTTGGCATAATTTAGGTATGGAATGACATTCAGAATTACAGGTGTCCAACTGCCCATAAGCCTAGGCTGTGCAAACCAATCACGTGAAAAGTGAAAAGATTGTACTGGATTGTTTGTTCCCAATAGGGAGGTTTCAAAATATACACAAAACTCTATAAAGGAAATAGGGAAACTAAGTAATTACATGGATTTTCCCTAATAAATTATTGGGATATTCAAGTGTGGATTAAGTTCCACATTAGTTAGTAATGGTCTCAGTCAAGACGATATAAATGGATCAACCCATAAACCCAAAACCTTAAGATTTTGGGTTGAAAAATGGTATTAGACCCACTTGCTATGGTTGGTCTAGCTTAGCCCATTGGAGTGGTATTAGAGCCAATAGTTAATTGGACTGTGTACCGAGTATTTGGATAATGCCTTAAGGTTTTGGGTTAAGACATGGTGTTGAACCCACTTGCTGATCCTTGAGAATAAAAGGCCTAACATGATTCCTAAAATACAAAGCAATCTAAAGATATACAAAGATATCATAAGATTTTCCACAAACCAAAACCACTTTTTAATGCTCTATTCATAAAATGAATAATTTGGTTAAATCAGGCTGAGTATTGCATGGATCAGTTGGGCTCAAGGCTACAAAATGAGATCAACCCATCTAAACTGAACCAAATTGCATATACACTTGAAAGTTGAAACATCATCCTAAGTCACAAATAATTAAAACAGAAAATTCATGTCCTTGTCCAGATAAAGCACTTAATGTAAGCAGAGAAGTTTAACATGCAAAAATCAAAATGTTTTCAAATGATACCAAAAAAAAAAATCATATATGTTGGACAATGATAATTTGCTTTTGGGGCAAAAAGAGACTGTTGGAATTTAGCTGAGGATGTCTTTGCCTGCATAAGACAATAAGTAATAGGGCTGCCAAGTAGTCCACATACCATTTAATGAGCTTTCAATTAGATTTGGACCCAATAATCCAAACCAAGGAACTAATCCGAGCCTGCTAAGTGCCTGTTTAGAAAGTCTTATTTTTAACTTCTCTTTTCTTTATGAGTAGAAGCTTAGCCAAACATGTTTTTACAAAATCTCTTATTATAAAAAGAGTTGTTGTTATAATGAATAAAAAAAGCAAAAGCAAAAAGCTCCCAAGAGGAGCTTTTTTTAAGATATATACTATTTATTTAGAATTCTCATATTTATTTTCCAATTTCACCCTTATTCTAAATTTGTATTTACCAATTTTATTCTTTACCCAGATAATCCATCCTAATAACAAATTATTTCATCTTCTCTCCTTCAAAACCCTCAGAACAACTTTATATAATCACCTAACTTTTTTTTTTTAAACTTTAGCTTAAAAGTAGTTTTTAACTTAAATTTGCCAAACAGCTCTAAGTCATTTGGTTTGGCTCCGATGGCCATCATTTTTCTTTTTTCTTTTTTTTTTTGGTGCGTGTGTAGGGCTATTCTCAGCTTGATCCAACCAGCTGTCTCATGAAATTCTTGAAATCGTTTTTTACATGTTTACATTCAAAATTGAACCAAACATCACCCAAACAATTTAGTACTCCCATTACAAATAAGGTTTGCAACTTTTAAAGGAGGAATTCAACAGCACAGGTCACAGAGCATCAGGAAAGTTGAATATCAATGAATGATAACGAAGTCATAATCAATAATCTTATATTTGAACCTCATGCATTTGACACCAATTTTTTTTTCTTTTTCTTCAATTTAAAATTCAGCATTCATCAACTAGAAAAATTGGTCAAGCTGGACACACTCAATGAAAATGGAAAACGTTTCTAGTTTCACTTTCCCAAAAAGACAAGCACAAAGCAATCAAACATAACAGACAAGCCAATCAGGCAAAAATGAAAATGTAACAAATAAATCAAGTGCATAAATTAAAAATTTGATATTAGGTCAACATGATTTTCATAGTTGGATCTTAGATTGAGAATTTATGGCATATTTAACAAATAGGTAATTTGGCAGTTACAGTATCAATCACATTCGTACTAAATCTAGACAAAAAATTTCATGATTTCATCCAGGGAACCTCCAGCAGAACAAGTAACTTAAGATGTATTATGACATTACTATAACATGAATCCAGACTTATGAAATTCACAGAAGACAAGTTTTTGTCAAAATAACATAGAACTGTGAGTACAAGCAATTGATGATGATTCTCTAGACCAAATAAAAGCAACTTTCATATGTGAAGTGAACTGAAAATTTAGTAAGCCAACACAAGCAACAAGGACATTTTCAGATAGCATCTTAGTCATATTTTATTTTACACCAAAAAATTCCAAGTTATGGGGACGGAGATTTGATTGTTTTATTTTACATGATTTATAATATGCTTGGTATCTGGGCCTCCATGATGATCATCTACGATTCTCAGTCAAAATACTAAGATAAGATCCAAAGATTTTCAGTTGATAGGAAGAAAAGTCATATCTTTGAATGCCAAGAAAGCTCAATTGATTCATCTATCCACACTCATCAGTAATATTTAAGGAAGATGGCACTGAAACACACATATCCGTCCACACTAATCAGTATTATTTATGAATTAATATGATGCTAAAGACTGACTTCCATGCAAACTAAAGTAACAGAAAATCACTGACTTCCTCTTTCCTCTTCTCTTCATATTGCAGAAACACACATAGTTGATATAAGGTCTGCTTGAAAAGGTAAACTCATTGAACACCCTCTAACACCAAATCACCCCATTATTCGAGTAATCTTGGAAAACCAAAATAATAATCTTATCACTGCTTTTCTATGAGACAAAGACAAATTCCAACTAACGACTAGAGTTTAGCACTCCCGACAAGGCCACCTGCACCATGCACTTGATATAAAGTGGCATGTAAAACATCAAAACAACAAACAAACCACTTTCTACCAGAACAAAGAATTTGTGCGATCAAAAGCAAAAACAAAAGAATCTGACAGCAATCTGAGGACAAATATAGAACTCAGCACCTTCGGTCCTGAACAACCTATCTACTGCAATTACATTATGGTCAGAGACAATTGATCCGCTTCTTTTTATGATATTCCAGTCCAGCAATCATACACACACACACACACAAAAATTTAATTCCATTCTTGAATATCATGATTAAGCCCTCATACAAGCATATAAGTAATATCCTATAATCCAGAAAAGACTACAATCAAATAGATTGTATATTTATATTACAATGTGATCAGTAGAAGCATGTAGCGGAGCGTGCATGTGTTTTTTAAAACTTCAACTTCAAACATCAGCATAAGCAAGATTCCTCTAAAGTTTCCAGGCTCCAAGTTCTTACAACATTTGAAGAAATAAAAGATACACAGAGAGACGCAATAATCTTAAGCAAATTGAAGCTAAGCTAAGAATTTTGGGAATCTAACCTAGATTCTTCAGTAGGAACCCAAGTCCAGTATCTCCGGTCATCGATTCCATTAATTGACATAGCTTTTGCCGAAATGGACATGCAAACCCTTCCCGTGACCCTGTCCAGCCACACTTCCTGTGAAACCCTCAACAATCAACCTCACTGACAGAACACAAAGCAAAAAATTCCAATTAACCAACTCAGAGAGAAGAAAACCTACCTTGTTGCCGTCATCAAATGGTAGCGGCCGAGATAGCAGCGCAAATATGTCCTTCTTGGACAGATTCTGGTGCCTCTCTGAAGTAGGCAAAACATGGAGCAGATCTTGGTAGTTAGGTGGCAACTTCGTTTCCCACACCGAATCGGCGGAGGAAGCACCGCGAAACGCTCGATTCAGCCGCGCCAAATTGCATATCTCCGGCGGAGTAAGATAGAGAAAAACGCAAGCCACGCAACTCTCAGGGATGTCCCCGAGGCCAGGACCGTTGGTCGAACCGTTCGTTGCAAGGTTCGACAGCGAGGCCCCCATCCTCCCTGAATTCACCTATATTCTTGACTTTCAGGTCATGCTGCCATTCAAGAATAATAAAGGAAGCACCATTTGGTGGTGAGTGGTGACTAAAATGCAACTCTCTCTCTCTCTCTCTCTCTCTCTGTGTGTGTGTGTTTTGCATGAATGAGAATTTTCTTTGTCAGGGAAATGGAAAACGAAAAGCTGAGGTGGGTCCCGAGTATTTTGATTGATTCAACAGCAGATAACTCCCCGAAAAATCAACGCGCTCCACGTGTTACTCCACTGCATCGTAGCCATTGATCTTTTTAAGTTTTTCCGTTGCCGCCCATGTCGACGCTGTAACGGAGTCAGGCTCTGGATAATGGCGCGTATAGTAGATAGGCCGCTAGGCTGAAACTGAGTGTTGTCTTTAGTATTTAATTTTATTTGTATTTTTAATGGATACAGAATTACGTAATAGTTAATATTTTATAGTTAGAGAAATAAAAAAAAATTAAATTTAAATATTAAATAAAAAATATTAATTTTAACTAAAATAATTATCCTGATAAATATTTTTTTTCCTGATTATCAGTATAAGTTCTATTTATTTTTCTGAATTAGTATTTATAATTATGTAAAAGATAAAGTATTAATTATTTTTATAAGATATTAAATATTTTGTTTTTGTTTTTTTATCGGGATCAAATCGAAGTCCCAAAAAGAAAAAAAGACAAACAAGCTAACTAAAGGCAACGAAGCAGGGTACGGAAGCCCAACAAAATTACAAAATGTGCATTAAGCCAAAAAAGCAAACCTTCCAAAGCTTGAAATAATCGGCTCTTAAATTAAGGATCAATCCGAGCTGGTTTGATACTCTCTCTTTTTTGTTTAAAATTATTTTTAAATTAAAGTTAAAAATAAAACTTAAAAAATAAAAATACAAATTATTTGGTGATTATATAAAATTATTTGATGGTTTTGAACACGGAATTATTTTTAGAATAAATTATTAGGATAAAGAATAAAATTTATAAATATAAATTTAAAATAAAGATAAAATAATAAAATAATTATGAGGAGTCAAAAAAGCTGATATGTATCTTTTATAAAAAATACTCTGGGAGCTTTCATTTTTTATTATAAAAAAATCTTTTTATAAAATAATTAAACTTCTATTTAAAAAAAAAAAAAACTAAAAATAAGACATGACTAAACCCATGAACAAAAGTCCACACCACACGCCTTCGTAAATGCTGAGCAAGTTGAATGTTATTGAATATGAGAGGTAACAGGCACCACACAACCACTCCCCCGCAGCACCCCTCGTGTTCCGCGAGGAGAAATATTTCAATATTATTTATTATCACATTCTTTGGGTATTGTGAAGGGAAACATTTTAATAAAAAGAAAAAGAAAAAAGTTCTATCAAAAAGACATTTTATGAAGGGAAATAATACTCTCATGCTACATGAGAGTAAATTATTTTCCTACATAAATTTATTTTTCGTGCCAATTAAAATTTTTTTTTAATATAAAATATGGAACCCACATTTAACTTCTCTCTACTTTTTTTCTCTCCTACAATCCTACAACATAAGAAAACTTAAACCCTTTTATGAATGGAATGATAAAATTGAAAATAGAGAGCAAGTAAATTAAGATAAGAAGAAACAAAAAGACCATGGTCCTCCTTAGTATTATTTGATTTATCAAAAAAAAAAAAAAAAACTGACAGGAATTTAATATTTTGCAATTTATTTCACTAATTCAATTTTTTAACACTGATTTTGGTTCAGGACATAGACAAGACAAGTAAGTAATAAGAATTATTATAAGTTCAAAGTATTAAATTAGGTTTTATTTATTATTAATTAATTCCTACACTTCTTATATGATTTAGTTATGCACAATAAAATCAAATGGTGATAGCTTAGTTGGCGCACTGGACCTAAGCAGGTAAAGATGAGAGCATGTGTTCGAATCTCTTCAATATCACTTTTTGGAGGGATTTAAATTCTTAATCCCAATGAACCAATTGGAATATTTCTAAAAAAAATTATGCACTATAAATAATTTTAATTTTATTAATTTAAATTAATCTATTTAAATAAAGCATTTTCAATTATTTTAATATTTATTTTACATATATCAATATATCTCAGATTTAGTGTAACGTTTATATTTTTATGATTTGAGAATTTTATTGTTATAGTTTTGATTTAAAATATTTTACTATACAATTATTCGTTTACAAAATAATTAGTTTATTTCATTAAATAAAATAATTCAAACTATATTAAAATTTTAAATTAAATAGCAATTTATTTCATCACTATTAAGTAAGATTTTTAGTTAATATGTTGTAATGCATTTACAAAATGTTTGATACTAATACTATTAGGGTATAAATAAAAGTAAGAAATTTATATAGAAAATTTAAGTTAATGTTACTTACTTATTATTTTCATTATAATTTGTAACAGTAATATTAAAGGATAATAGAATCAATGAACAAGTAAGAAGATATTATAACCTTGATGCTTCTTGACTTAAGTGGTTGTTCGGATGAACTATCAAAATAAATTTTAGAAATGACTTTTGGAATCAGAATTGGATAATTATCACGTCCCCTCATACATACGTGCGCTCTTTTCCGAGTTCAGGTTGAAGGAATATTTGGGAGACATGACTTGCCTAACCCCTAGCCTCATGTAATAGTAAAATAAAATAAAATAAAATAAGAAAATACTACTTAAAATATATTATACTAATCTAAATATTCAATTATTCTATATAATATTAATATATGTAACAAAAATATGATTTTTTTTAATTTGTTAAAATCAGTGCATTTTGTTTGATGTTTATCTGAAAAATATATTTAAAAAACTAAAAAACATGGAAGTAAAAAAAAATACGAAAGAGATAAATCAAAAGTCACAAAAAGAAAATAGTCCTAGGCTAAAAGAATTAAAAAAAAAAATCAAAATTTAGAAAAAAACGTCATGTAATCATTTTAGTATAACGACTTTCATATTATGATCCGTTGAGATGATGAAATTAAGATTATAGTTTATGATTTTAATTTTATGTTAATTTCAAGTCTTTTAAAAGTAAAATTGGTTTAAAATCATAGATTTTATGCTTAAGTTGTGCAAAGAATTCGGACATAAAATTTGAAATCTAAGTCGAATCACAATTCTATTACTTAGATATAAGATGTATAATTAAAAAACAATAATTTTAATCCTCACATTAACTTTTTTAATAATAATATTCTGCATTTTAATATTTTATAAAACTGATGAACCTAATGAATATGTCCTGCCTCTTACGAATAAAATAGCTAGTATGACGTTTATAATAAAAAATAAAAAATAGCTAGTATGACCACAGTAATTTTTTAATTAACAGTTTATTTATAAGGTTTGATATTTCTCACTTATCTCCTACAAACATAAAAGCATATGAGGAATGTAAAGAGAAGAAAGAGAAAAATAAAATATGGACCTCATATACTTTTATGCTATGAAACACTGACACTTGAAAAATCTTAACGTATCGTGTCTGACACTCCGGCACTCCAACACGCGTTGTAGAGACTCCAAAAAAGTTTCAAAGGTTGCGTTACGTTTTTAGTTCCAATTATTAGATTCTCGTTGGATTATGATTATCATTTTATTGAGTTTAATATAAATATTAGGGATATCTTATGTTTCTTTGCAAAATTGATGGGTATTATAAGTTTAACTTTATTTTTTTTAAATTATTGAGTATTAAATATAATGTACATTATATAAATTAAAAATAATATTTAATATCAAAACATGTTATAATATGTTGAAATCTAACATTTTTTAGAATTAACGTGTGGGAGTGTCATGTCGTATCGTGTCTCGTGTCCCGTGTTGATATCGGTGCTACATAACTTTTATATTTGTATAGCAGATAATTTTATCGTCTACAATACGAAAAATATTAAACCTTTATTATGTAGAAAAGACCTCTCTCTATATATTACTTTTTGGGTTGAGTATAATTTTAACTAGGGGTGTTCGCGTCTGGATTGGATCGGTTTTGCAAGCAAAAATCATTCGATCCAATCCATTTGGTTTGATCATGTAATCATCCATTCGGTTTGGATTTTTTTTCAAATTCGATCCGATCCAATCCAATTTTTTCGGTTTGAATTGAATCGATTTTCGGTTTTTGAAAATCCTAAAATTTGTTTCATGATTATTGTGCAAATAACATCTTTTATATATATTGGCTTTGTAATTTTTTTTAAATACAAAAGCATCAGTAAACAATAATATAATTTTTTTTTGGACAATGAGATATGAAGCTCTACATAGATGAAATTTTGTTGATGAGATGTGATCATATTTTTTCTTGGGTGTAATTAATGGGTCTTGGGTTTATAAATTTGTGGGCTATGATTGAGAAAAGACCCAAGTAGGTAGAGGAAAATTAATATATTGGATCGGTTTGGATTGGATCAGTTTTCGTTTACCAATCCAAAAACCGATCCAATCCAATTAAAATTTGCGATTTTTTTTTCGGTTTTCGCTTTTTTGATTTTCGGTTTATTCGGTTATCGATTTTTCGGTTCGGTTACCGCAGTTTGAATCGGTTTGGATCAGTTGATGAACACCCCTAATTTTAACTTTTATATGTGTGGAATTGAAAAATTTTAAGGTATTAATTATGAATTTTGAAAAAAAATATTAATTATATTTATTTCATAATTTTGTTTATAAAAATATAATTTTCTCTATAAAAGAATTTTATACATAAAAATTATAATTAATAGGCCTAATTCTAATTCAATGTTTCAGTTCTATGCTCAGTTTGATATGTCAAACAGATACTTTTACCTAGCTAAATTGACACAAAAGCTAAATATAAAAATTTAGAGATCCACTTTTATATAAAAATAAATAAATTCGAATATAAAATTTAATTTTAAATTTATAAGAACAATAACAATTTTGCAGTCTTACACTAGGTACATTTTTTCTTGGTAAAACTGTATTTAATTTCATGAAATTTGGAGGCTTTTAAAAAATTATAAATTTTAAAATTATCAAAATTAGTCATTAAATTTTAATTAGAATAAATAGTCAAATTATCCACAAGAAATATAAATTAATTTTCGAATGATAAAAAGTTATATTGTGTTCCCTAAATGTTAATTTTTTCAATCAAATTAATTCCCACATTAGAGACTTCATAGACTAATTTAAGTGACTGATTTGAAAAAATAATAATAATTTAACTGACGCAATGTATATTCAAAAAAACTAATTTAACCAAACATAATTTTTATGTTCAAAGCCCAATATAACGGATATTATATCTTGCATATTATTTTATGTTGTAGATAGAAAATAGATAGATCTCACTATTGCATAAAAAAAATAATTGAGGTGCGAAAATTAAAATGAGATAATATGAGAAAAATTATCTTATATGTAAGCAGAGTAATACTTCCCTTATATCTTTCTAATACTAAACTTCCTATTTATTCTGTTAACTATTGTCGTCTTAAATCTTTCTGTTTAAGTTTTAAACGGAAATGACAAAAATTTGGAAATCTGGATCCTCTTATGTGAAAATTTACATGATCATGTAATATAGAGAATCATAACCATACAAAGGTTAATCAATGATAATAAAAGTGAAGAGAAAAAATGTTAAAATAGATAGTTATGATTTTGATTTATCTTTGTATGATTGTGATCTTTTCACATGACCAAATCATTTTTTTTCACAGGATCCATTTCCAAAATTTGGATCCGTTTATAATATAATTATTGCCCTAATAAATCTTTCCGTTTAACTTTTATTAAGTTTAAACGGAAACGTTACAAATTCTGATCCCTTTAGCATGCATGGACACCAAAGCACATCCAAACCCCTTCGAATTAATATGAAAAACAAACCCCATCTACATAAAAAACGATGACAGCTTTATATTATTGTCTAGGGATTTTTTCAATCTCAGGCATTCATGTTTTAGAAAACAAACTAAAAAATAAATATTAAAATTTTTCCATTTTCACTCTATTTATCGAGTTCCGGCACCAGAAAGTTTGGAATTTGGGCGCTGCCATAATATAACTAATCACCTATGACTAAAACTTTTGGAAGATGGTTGGGTGATAATTTTATAAAGGGATTAGTGTGTATCATTTTAAAAGATGTAAACTTGTGTCATTTTAAGTGAGAGAAAGACATAGATAAAGGAGGAGAGAGAGTGGACAAGAAAATATAAGAGTAAATATCATTTTTGGTCTTCAGCAAATTTCACGATGCCCTCTTTAGTCCCTAGCAAATAAAAAGGCCCATCGTGGTCCCTAAAAAATTCAAAAAAGACCCATATTAGTCCTCAAATGTACTAAAATGGGTCCATTTTGAATTTTTTAGGACTCACGATGGACTTTTTATTTGCTAGGGACTACAACGGTGAAATTTGCTGAAGACCAAAAAATGTATTTACTCAAAATATAAAGGTGTGGGTCTCACCTTTTTGCGAGAGTGAAAGGATATTAGTTGTGTCATTTAAAAGGACAAACATTTTTCCCTTTTAATAAATTACAAAACTAGATAAAATTCAAATAATAAACTAACGAATTTTTAGATTACATAAGCATAGACGGCTTATAATTTGCCAGGTAACATAACGAAAGTTAAAACAATTTGAATAGTAATTAAAATTTAAAAATTAATGAACACAACTTTAAAATTTATTACGACCTTTTTATAAATGTTCAAAAGGTTAAAGTGACTTAACATTTTTTTCCCTTTTTTCTTTAATATGTACAATTTATCTATTTTTTTAACAAATTGGATTAAACAAGAACAAAACCAGGAGCACCCTATGTACGTGGTGCGTAACAGCCGCGTTATTCGACCACCAATCTTAAAGTTAAAGAAGAAAACAAAAAAGGTTGGGGGGAAGAAAAAGAAAGGAAAGAGAGAGAAGATAGACATCAACATCATTATTCTCTGACTAGGAATATCCACGTATGCAAAATCAAGTGTCCTCGTTGGTGTTTTGAAACGGCACTATAAGTGGGTTGTAACTTGTAACCCCAGTTTTAAACAAAACCTGTGGGTTTTTCTTTCAACTTCCAAAGCATAGACAAACCAAAACCATGGGCAGTTTTTTTTCTTTTTCTTTTTCTTTTTCTTTTTTTTTCTCTCAGCACTAACAAAACCAGTTGCTTCGTTCCATGTATATACTATAAATCCTTGTCTCCCTTCACAGTTCACCTCAATCCAACAACATGCATGTGCATCATCAACCTTCATATATGTCATTTGTCTTTTTGCTTTATACCCTCTCTATGATCTTTGACTTCATTTCTCCTACTTCAACTTTCAAAAAGCTGAATGGTGTGATGTTACACGTGGATCTCAGTCTTTCTTAGCCTGAGTTTGCAGTGTTCTAATTCCAATAACGGTTAAGGTAAGCTCTCATTAGTTCCTTATCCTTTCCTCTAAATTGTGGTCCTTTTGGGTGCAAACATTAATTGGTCTTAAAGGTGTTTGTTGATGGAACCAAATGGATTAGGTGGTGGGATATTTCCTAGCATTAGTAGTGGAATGCTAGGAGTAGAAAACCCTTTACAACAACAACAGCAAAATCTCCAAAATCAGCAAAATCCTCATCCTTTGCATCATCCCCAAATGGTTTCTTATGCTACTCACCATGACACTGACACTCATCAACAACCCCAACAATCAATCAAGCATGGTTACCCCTATTCAACCAACAAGACCAACAACAAGTCACAGACTACCCTAAGTGATGAAGATGAACCTGGGTTCACAGCAGATGATAGCTCTGGGGACCCCAAGAGGAAAATGTCACCATGGCATAGAATGAAGTGGACGGATGCTATGGTTAGGCTCTTAATAATGGCGGTTTATTACATTGGAGATGAAGGTGGTTCAGAACTTACTGATCCCACTGGGAAAAAGAAAGCTACGGGTTTGTTGCAGAAGAAAGGGAAATGGAAATCTGTGTCGAGGGGTATGATGGAAAAGGGGTTCTATGTGTCTCCTCAACAATGTGAGGACAAGTTCAATGATTTGAACAAGAGGTACAAGAGAGTCAACGACATTCTCGGCAAGGGAACAGCTTGTCGGGTTGTGGAAAACCAGAACTTGTTGGATACGATGGATTTGTCACCAAAGATGAAAGAAGAAGTTCGAAAACTTCTCAACTCCAAGCACCTATTCTTCAGAGAAATGTGTGCTTACCATAACAGTTGTGGTCATGGAAGCACTTCTACCTTGCAACCACAATCTGCAGAGGCCGGAACTGGAACAGGAACTGAGCCATCACAAGCTCAACCACAACAGCAGCAGCAGCAGCAACAACAACAACAACAAAGATGTTTCCATTCATCAGAGAACGGGGTGGGGAGTTTGAGGAGGATGTTGAAAGGGAGAAGCGTGGAAGAGGATGATGATGAAGATGAAGATGAAGACTCAGAGGACTATTCTGATGATGAGGAAGATGACTCGGCAGAAGGTGGGTCAAGGGGTCAAGTAGAGGATGATGAGAATGATGTGAGGAAGAGATCAAGGAAAGGAGGGTTTTGTGTGTCATCACAGGTGATGCAGCAATTGAACAGTGAGGTAACGGGTGTGTTGCAAGATGGGGTTAAGAGTCCTTGGGAGAAAAAACAGTGGATGAAGAAAAGGGTGTTGCAATTGGAGGAACAACAAGTAAGCTATCAAGTGCAAGCATTTGATCTTGAAAAGCAGAGGTTAAAATGGGCAAGGTTTAGCAGCAAGAAGGAAAGGGATATGGAGAAAGACAAACTTGAAAACGAAAGGAGGAGGTTGGAAAATGAGAAAATGGTTTTGCTCCTTCGCCAGAAGGAGCTTGAATTGTTGAATATTCAGCAGCAACAACAACAGCAACATTCTTCTACCTAGGCAACAAGATATTACCGTGTAAGTTTTGTGGTAGTTGAAATTACTACGCAGAGTATAGATTAGGCGAAATAGATCAAAGTGATTATTGTTCTTTTTCTGGGGTTATTCCAAGTATTTTCTTTCTTTGTTTGTTTAAAAGTTAAATAAATGAATATATGACCAAGTTCTACAAACATCTCGTTACATAGCTCACACCAGATTCTTGTGGTATTAAAACTTGAATATAAGAAGAATAAACACTGGAGTTATATTGTGTTCAATTCACTGGTGCCAAAAACTAAAAGGGATATAGCTTCGTCTTTCTGAAGAAAAATGACAGAACAAGTGTTTACTAGTGCCAGCAACTACAGGCAATATATATCTCTTCTTGAGAAAAAAGGACAAAACTATACATTCCTTCATTGGTATGTATATCTGTGTATGGTAACAGTAAGAAAGAATAAAATGCGTCCTCCCTTAAAAAAAGAGCATTCTCCATTAAATGAGAGTATGTATGTCCCTCTATAAAAATAAAGGTACCGGAAACATATTTACAGCAATTAAGGTGCCACATTTTCATCATGTTTCCGACTCCATTTTTATTAAATTCAATATATAATTTTTTGCTTGTTTATATGCATCATACATACCTAAATTTTCAAAGTATGCATTTTTCTTACTTCTTGAGGAAAAAGGACAAAAACTGGTTTAACAGTTTGCACGCCCAGTGGGACTCGAACCCACAATCGCTTGATTAGAAGTCAAGCGCCTTATCCATTAGGCCATGGGCGCTAGTTGTTATTGTCTTCATGATTGTAGATTATATTATATTACCAATTGGTCTCATTTACAATGTGCAAGAGAATTGCAAATGTTAACCATTTTTTAGAGTTTGATTCAGAAAAAAAGGAATAGGAATTTTGATAAAATCAAGTTATTGAATTCAATTGAATAAGAAGCATTAAATTAGCCTTATTGCTACCTTGCATGACAAATAACGTCTTAAACCATTGCTCCTAATGCTCAAGATTCTCCACAATCACAATTAGACCAACCAACATTCATAATGCTTAGGATCAATGTTTCAAAAATAGACCGGCTATTGATTTGTTCAGTACTCCAATCGTGGTTAAACCGTGTTCAAATAACCATAATTATAAATATATATTTTAATATTATAAATTAAATTAAATTGTAAATTAACATAAAATCATAAGAAAAAGTTAGGTGAAATTTATGTTAGTATAATATAAAAGGCCATATTATATGTCTTGTAAGATTAAAAGAAATTAATAATAAAAATTATAATCATCCAGTAAATAGTACATGAAGTAAAACAAAGTAAAGATAACTATTATGTTACTAAGTATTTCAGAATAGTAAATAAAATATCCAAACATATTAACATATATAAAAGCTAAAAGGAGGTCATACGATTTTATATAAAATAGGGAGTAAAAGTTAAAGAGAAAGCAATCTACTTCACCCCTTGCTTATTGTTGAGTCCCATTCGTGTGCTTTCTTAACTTGACATGGGACCTTCATTTGACTATTTTTTTTGGGTTGTCTTAAAAATAAAATAAAATAAAGTTTCAAACTGATTCACTACTGATTTTGGACCGGTTTAGGAAGTTTTTCACCAATTCTTAACTCTATTAGTTTTGGGCTGAATGGACTAGATACCTGCTTTACCATATTTTTCAATCAATCGGTCAAGCTCAGTCTTTACCTTTTTTTTTTTTTTCAATCATTGCTCAAGATACTCTATATTCAGACCCTTTTTCTTCCTCCTTCACCCATGACAAACCTCCACTGGCAAAATCCAGTAACCGTTGTCTCTCATCAAAACCTCACCGTAGAAGCACCATCCTTTTGGTGGCACCAAATGTAAAATTGTAGTTGAAAGTGGTCAATGTCGGAACCAATGTCTCCCTGGTACGCCCAATTTGCAAAATTCTAAGGGGTTTCAAGAGGCAAATAAAAAAGTGGTCAATTATCGGAACCTGATTTATGCATGCTTCTGGATCACAAAAAGCATTGCTTCTTGAGGAAGTCAACTCAGATTGCAGAACCAGGATAAATCCATTATGCATCCATCATCTTTTGATAAACCTTGGGATAATAAGTGAACTTTCCAAGTCCAAAAGTTGTTACTTTGTCTTTGATCCAGTCAAGTCAACTTCAGTACTTACGATGTACAAACACAGCGGGCAAATCACGAATTATTTGGCCTGCATATCACACTGTCGTTCATTATTAGACGAGTACGGAGATGTAGTATAACGTTGTACAATTGGTTTTCGAGAACACAAGCTATTAGCATCATTAGCTCCGCAATCAATATAGAATAAACTTCCTTTCAAATTGTCCTTGTACTAAAATTTAACTAAAATTGGCATCAAGGGCATATTCCCTTCTGAGATTTAAAGTTTGACAGCCAGTAATAACCTAACATTAATTTTCAATACACAAAATATAACTAGCCACCAACCCAGGTGGAGATAACCTCAAACAGCGAAAGCAGAAAGATCTGCTACTGCCAAAGACTTGGCGAAGACCAAAAAAGACAACAAAGAAAAGCCTATGCACTTAATCTTCAAGCTCGATAATTTTCACCACAGATGCATCACCAACTTTCTGGAAAACAACCACTCGATCATGTGACTTTATAACTCCTGATGCTTTTCCATGATCAAGGGCAACCTTGAGAATAGATTCGCTTGTGGCACTTGTTGACTCGGCCTGCAGGCAGAGTATGAGATCAACATCAAGTATGTCTCAGAACATTATGTCATGGAGTGCTTGTAAAGCAGCATGCATACAAGTCATGCAGAATGAAACTTATGTCTCAACAGCGTAGCGTAGCCATAGGTTGTGTTCTTAAGGAGCTAACGATGAAGTTGACCATCATTAAAAAAATACAAAACTTATCCTGTTTCCAGATCTACCTAGACAGACTACATGGAGCTCTAGAGCTGGAATATGCATTGAAGCTGAAGATATAAATAGTACCCAACCCCTATAGTCTAGCTTCTCTCTAGCTCGATCCAGATTCAGCACCCAATGTTCATTCCTTCCCCCAAAAGAAAATTCTCATGATAATAATGCAGATAAACTCTTGAAACAATAACTAAAGTAAAAGTCCCACAAGATCAATAACTTACAGGATGTCTGGGATCAGCAAGCATGGGAAAGAGACCTCTTACAATAAGTGATTGCCTTGCCTGCATCACAAATTGAATTATAAGTTCGTAACAAGATGATCCAACACAAACAACACAATACACATCCTGGTAAATACAAGTTTCTAATCATTAGATGGAACAAATGTGTCCAAATCCAGGCCAGTACAGCATCATCTTCCAAAGCAATATAAGTCATGGCCGTAAATCCATTACAGCCGAGAAAACTTGACAGTATAAATAGATTGTATTATAAACGATACATATATGTAAAAAATATGTAGTAGATAAAAAAATTATAGTTGAGAATACTTGACAGTAAAATAAGATTGTAATACACATAATATGTAGTAAAGTGTAGTATATTAATTACATTAGTTGTAAATAAGCTTTCCCACAAATGAGTTGGCAGTTGGTCCTGGAAACGGAAACAAGAAACAGAATAAATTGTTCTTATTTAGCAATGTAAAGCACAAAAAACTCGTTTTATTTAAAAACTACAATTTAATTAGAACTATTCTTCATAAATGTAAATAGGAGGGGGATCAACATACACTGATTGTAAGACTTGTGAACCTTACACCATTCAATAACTTGTAGAAAATGATTTTGATCAATCCAAAAATTATAAAATAACTATCTTTAAGTAGATCTTGCACGTAGAAATTCAGAAAAGTTAAACAAAAATAGTTTTGTGACCTGGTTGGTGTTTTCATTTTTTTTGAAAATATGTGATGCATAATTTAAACACATTTCAATAAAATAAAAAATGATTTTGGATTAATTTGAAATTTTATGAACATGATATGCATGATACAAACTGTCTATCCAACAATGGTTTTTGTGAGAAATTCATTTCACAGGAAGTTATTCATCATTGATCCCAGAAAAATGTTATTCATTAATCATGTGGTAAAACTGAATTTTTATTTACAACAGTGGATCCTTATTCAATTGTCATAAATCCCTTCAAAATTTAAATTAACCAGTTAAAGAGGGGAGAATCTAATAATGATCAGAAATTACCTTATCACATCGAAGCCTTAATATCAGGCAATTTAGTTTTTACTAAGCTATATCTAAAATCATATCAATAAAAAAACCAATCATATATATTATCAATAATAGAATCCAATCTGACAAGAGCAGGGGAGTGTCAGTCACATCCATGAATAGATAAAAGGAAATAAGCAATCCCTGGACAGCTAACAGAAAATAAGATGCAGATGAGACAAAAGTTAAGATCCAACCTGAAAAGCTCCACTAAAGTTCCATTTTAGCTGATTTGTCTCAAGTCGGGGGATCACAACAGAGAGAACTGGCATCGTTGGCCTATACTTTGCTATCAATCTGAAAAGTGCACGTGATTTAGTAAAGAAGTCTTCCAGACATAAGTGGAAATGCAGGGAAAATTTTATATTGACATTAATTGATCCATAGCATTCATTTTCTTGGGTTGCATGCAATTTGAAAGCTAGCTAGTTTAATTGTCCAAGATGCTAAATACGAACATATTCATATCAAATTATTCGTGGAGACAGTACCTTGCAGCCCTTCCAGATGAAGTGAAGCAAATGATAATGGAAGCCTTCACCTTAATAGCTGCCCGTACCTAAACATGTAGGATTTACATGTAAGAAGCCTCCTTTAAAAGATGAAATAAAGCCAACCACCAGCACAAAAAAGAAAAATCAATAGACAAAAAGTACTGTTTTTCATAGACAGGCATGCACTAGAAACTAAAAAACTGGCCCACAGAGCAAGGCTCCAACTATTGTGGAATCTGGGAGGGTCAAAAGCATGCAGACTTATCCCCACCCCAGAACTATAACCCGGGACCAACGTGTCACAAGACAGCAATCTTACCAGTGCACTAAGCCTCACCGTCTCATGGACTAGGAACTACCATAAAAAAAAATATATTGACTTAAGGGAAAAGTTAAATTGTAATTACCGCCGAAGATGCAATGGATTCCAAGTGGGTCATGGGTTCTCCAACAAATTTGACTGTCTTCTTAAAATAAAGATCTTGATTGAAAACTTTCTCAGCCTGAAACAGAATGCAGAGATATCAGCCAGTAATTTGAGTGACATTTAAAATAGGAGATTACTTCATATGAATCAAAGGAACTTCCAACAAATGATTCACATAACTAATGTCAAACTATTATCCAAAGGTATCCTTACAAACCACCATAAGAAGGAAAGAAGCAAAAATGATAGAAAGAAATGATATTCAAGATAAAGAAAAGATGCAAGAACAACATTATTTCCCGCTTTTCTAAGATTTTATAAAAATGCATCATATACGTAGAGCAACCAATTCAACCCTCCAACACGCCCCCTTACACAAGATCTCAATGGCCTTGAAGGGTGGACAACGCACAACCCCACCTACCTATGCTAAGAAACTCCACATTATTTAATTATTTATTAATGTAATGAGGCAGTGAAGATCAAATTCGTGACCACTTGGCTACGGAGGGTCTGATACCATTTGAAGCAACCAATTCAATTCAAAAGCTTAAGTTGTTAGTTGAAGGTTGCATTAAAGATTTTATATTATATTTCTCTAACAATATAATCAATATTAGAACAAGAAATGAACAGATTTAATACTGCATGCAACCAATGTGCTTATCAAGCAACTTCCACATAGACTTCTAAAGTCTCGTTTTGCTTGTTTATCATGACAAATGAATGAATTTGGAAAAAGAAAAGGAAATAAATTATCTGGCTAATGAACTCACACCATTCAGATTTCAGACCATAGTATGTTCACCTGGTTACATGAAACTCAGGAAAATGAAATTTTATATAATAGTATTCGGCCATAATACACACATGTATTATACTGTAAAAAATGGTAACAAAAAAAATAATTCCTAGAGCAAGTAGTAGTTGAATCCAGACTCCACACCACACCATCTTCAACATATAGGATCCCATTGGTTAGGTTCATTAATGTAATAATTTCCTAAACCAATATATCAAGTACTGTCTCTGGCCGATTCAAATACATTATCTAGTTAGGTTTGCTCTATGTTGGTGTTCCCAATTAAGTTCTGGCTTAATAATCATAGAGTGGCATGTACACAGACATACAACATTAAACCGTCCAGGATCCATCTCTTGCCAGTAAATAACATATCTTATTAAAAAATAGAGAGATACTTCACATCAAATACATCTTTGGGGAGGGACGAGTAGTTTTAACTATGCTTAAGCCCCAACTCAGGATTAGTCTCATAGCCGGCTCAAAGAGTTAAAACTTGTAGGGATATCGGGGGACCAGATAATTAGGTCAGTATACCCAAAAAAATAAAATAAAATTAGAGATACTCAATAATACCCATGATAGCTCAAAATACAGCTTTTGAGTACAACTATCTGAATGTCTTGAACAAAAACTAGATGGACCGTATAAACTAAGGAATTTCCACAATCAGACAACTGCAAAATTAGAAGTGTTTTCAAGACTGAAGTTGACAACCACAGAACCATAACAACATACCAATTCTACATTATTTAGGCAACAGAGCTCATATACCAATACACAGAGAAATTGATAAAAAAATGTTCCATAAAATCTGAATCAACATATAAAAATTATCTGAAGTATCACATGAAATTAAAGAGCTAGGAAATGCACTTACTTCTGCACAAATTTTGCCAACAGTAGAAATAGTCTCAACAGGGTATAACCCACGTAAAGTCTCAGCACCCAGAAGTATTGCATCACTTCCTGTACATTTATTAATAACATTTCAACACATATCCATTAAGCGGTTCTAACCAAACCACACAGAACAAGAACTGATAAAGAAAAACATTGTGAAGGGCTGAAATAAAAAAAAGGGGGTGGGGGATATTTCTTGACTGTCTTTATTAATCACCTCATGAAGGTTACTGGATAGCATGTACACAAATATCAAAGGGACAGCAACAAGCACATTGAATATATAGGCACCATTGAAAAATAAAAATAAAAATCATTGGAACGAGTCTAATTCTGAAAAAGAAAAGAGCAATATTTCCTGTCTTTGATAGTCATCCATAGAAGGTTGCCATTAAACACGCAAACCAATATCAATGACATAACAGACAACTTGAAGCACATAGATAAGCACCATTGAAGAGAAATGACACCATTGAAATGTAGACACACAAAAAAAAAAAACACTCCTCCTATGTTGCTCTTTTATAGATCAGTTTTGTGTACAATACTATAATGGTGAGACTCATATAACACACTTTGTTTTTTCTCACACCCAAATTATTTCACTTTCTTACTTTCACCACTCTCTCTAACTTTCTATCTCACTTTCACATGCACACTCTCCTGGTTTGCCCCATTATCCATAACACTTTTCTTTGTGCTGCTGCACGCCACAGACATGGGACTTCCAATTTCTAGACACACCTATCTCAACTCACAGTCATTTCTCAGTTCTCACACGACACTGGACTGGAGCATAGCTCCTATATGCAAGTTACATATTTGGTTGAATTTAATTTTTTTACAATATCTAGATATTACAATGTATAAGTTGGCTAAGTTTCCAGGTTCAAAAGTATACAATATTCCAGACTATTGTACTTCCAATATCTACCAAAAATGGGAACTTTCAGCATTTAACAGAGTAGTTGATGATTTTATTCTAATATGAATTATTTAAGGCACCTAAATCCAAACTTAAAAGAGAAGGGAAATATTTGCGTTTCTTTGATAAACGATGATCAACTTTACTGGAAAACCATGCAAACTAATATCAACAGAACAGCCTAGTAGCCACCAACCTAACTAATGGTGTCATATGACCAGTGACTTACCATCTAAAACAGCATTGGCAACATCAGTGGCTTCCGCACGAGTTGGTCTTAAGTTGTCAGTCATGCTATCCACAACACGTGTGAGCACGGCAGCTTTCCCAGCCATATTACACTTGTAAAGGGCAGATTTTTGAAAAAAAAATACCTATAAAAGCAAATGGCAGTTGATTAACATCTCTGCAAAAGTCAGTCCTAGAACCATTAGGTATTCACTTAATGGAGACAATTAAGATCATCTAATTGTCATTAGGGATATTGCAATTAGGTAGCAGTTCATTAAGCTGATTCAGATCAAACTATTAAACATCCCATTCCATTCCAAAAAGCATGAAGCATCACTCCACAATAATCTCTTTCCTTTCGTTGTTCTAGTTTTTAGGTTTGTTAATCAACCCCCACTCATTATATGACTATTGGTTAGTTAACTACAGATGTAAGCAAATAAGACGAATGACTTTCAGAATTTTCACAGTAACGTAATATATAAGATTTTGTAGTTTAAACACAGACATTTGGAACATTTTTGAAAATTTAGTAAATTCTGTTGTTTCAAAAATAAGCTTGTTAAGTTATCGGTAAGGGGAACTCAGGAAACTTTATACATCTAAAACCCAAATATTACATAAAAGATTTCCAAGTACTTAGATAGCTCCAAAACCATCCATCAGAAGAAAAGTGGGCTAGATGATCTAGGCAAGAAAAAAGTTGAGTCTATTATTTATATCAAAACCAATTAAAAAAAAAAAGAACAAAGGAGAGAAATTAAAAGTATTTTGTTAATACTGGCTCTTCCTTAAATATGTGAAAGCATCTACTTAGTTCAATTATCAATATATACATATCTTTATAATTTTTTAAGTATAAATACATTATCAACATGCCCGAAGCCACACAGCAACACGTACATAAGTAGAAGCTCTTCAAAATACAATAAGAGATTAATCACAACAAGGAATCTAACCTTCTCTGGTGGAAGATCAATGCCCAAATTCCCACGGGAAAGGATAATACCGTCTGCTTCTTGCAGAATCTCGTCAAAATGGGTCAATCCCTAGAAAAACAACATAGACGTACATATGCAATTGAGTCAGCATAGCCAATAAGAATCTAATTTACAGAGAAATCAAGTTCGTCCAGCAAATTATGAAGAAATGCAATTCACCTCAACATTTTCAATCTTTGCGAAAATTTGAGTCTGGCTGAGGTCACCTAACTCAGAAAGGAATTCACGGGCCTGCATTTCAAACACACAAAGGGCTGTTAATAGAAAATCTGAAACAGCAATTGAAAAATAAATTTAAATGACCAATTATGAACCTTGAGATGACTAAACCATATTAAAGGATGTGGAACACAAATTACCTGGCGAACATCTTCAGCATGCCTGGTATATGACAATGATAGAAAATCAATTTTGTTTTTTACTCCCCAGGTTCTTATAACCTGCAAGGAAAAAGCACGATAACCCCAAACTTTAAAGAAACCTATATTCTAGGCACACGCAAACTCTACTAGTTTAATGATAGGTAACTCATTAAAATATGCAAGTAAAAAGTAGAAATTACCTCCTTGTCTTTCTCAGAGAGGGTAGGCAAGTCAATATGAATCTGAGAAGCATGTAAAGTGAACAATGCACCAGTCAATGTAGCTGAATTCTTTATAGTACAAACAACGTCATGCCCAGCAACTTCAGCTACCTGCACAATTTCAGGTAGAATTAGTCATGCGTGTAGGACTTCAAGTATTCCTCTTTATGCCAGCCTAGGCCCTTACTGTAGATTTTGGAAATATCAAATAAATGGTTGATGCAGATAACAAAAAATACTGAAGAACCACTACAATAACAAAATAAAAAGGGACCTAGTAGAATAAATTTTGCCTACTGGGCCTAGCTTACATTACCTCTAGCCATACAGAAGTAGTTTCACTTCCTGTGAACAAGTATTGACCAACAAAAATAGTGTCTCCCTTCTTCATTGACTGTAAACAATACGAATAAGATTAAGGTTTGAACTAACACAAACATTGCATTGCGAAAAAAAATGAGTCTGTATTATATGAGCAAGTGAGTAACAAATTACAATTCAAGCAAAAGGCATCTATGGAAACATGCAATTTACAACTTCTAACACAATAAGTGAGAGCAATATCGCATATATGGCTGAAATTTACAGCTAATTCGAACTAACCAACAGTAGGAAGGTGCAATTGACTCCAGTCCAAGCCGGCACACACCAAAGGAAACAAAGAGTAAAATTGACTAAAATAAATCATTCAGGTTAATATTATTCATCGAAAAACTGTACACGAAAGCAAGTCAGTCACACGATATCATGAGAAGGTTGAAAACTTCAATGAACCTTGGCCAGTCCATCAAAATTGATAGGCAGAATCTGTGAAGAGGCTTCTTGTCCCTGGTCAGGAGTCAGAACAACCTGACCGTCAGCCTGAAGCGAAATCGACTTCTCACTTTTGTTAACAACCTGCATCTCTGCACCAACCGTGTCCAGCATAACCTGGCAAAGGCAATAGATTAACCAACACTCAGCCCCTTTCCCATTATGGAAACAAATTCCATGAGAAAGCAAGAACGCAAGCATAAATTGAAGATTCCTCATGAACTCAGCAAAAACTTAATCACAACAAAATGGACAGTAAACATCTAAAATACAGAAAAAAGAAAAGAAAAGAAAAACTCACAGCACAGAGCTTCTTAGTAGTCTTAACAGCAGACTTCAAATTCTCCAAAGTCTCCTGGTGATAATCAGGGTCACACCAAGAGAAGTCGAAACGAGCAACTACAACAAACATTAGATAATCTCATAATAAGCCTTTACCTATTGTTGTCTGTGACAAAAGGTGCAGAACTCGAAAGAGGTAAACACTAAACAACAACGATAATAATAATAATAATGATGATGATGATGTAAAAGGAAGAGAGATATACCAGACATTCCAGCTTTGAGACAACCAGAAATAACATCGACCGATCGAGATTTAGGACCCAATGTTCCAACGATCTTTGTCATTGCAGGAAAGAAACTCTGCAAATTTAAAATATAATTAAAAAAAATGGAAAAATGAAATGAAGGTGAAAGAAGAAAGGAAGAAGAAGAAAAGGAGAAACTAACGGGCTTGGATGGTTCAAGTATAGAGACCATCCGAATAGGTTCCTCGAGAAGCAAGTGACCCGAATGCATCTTTGCTTGTTGATATGTCTGTCTTCCAAACACAGCCCTAACTCTTCAACGCACACACAGAGCGAGAGCGAGAACGAGGAAAAGGGGGAAGAGAAGAAGAACAAAAGTTCGATCAGTAGTGTTACTGTTATTGCACTGATATGCGTGAAAACTCCGAACGCTGTTTCACAAAAGCTATTTTCAAGAAGGGTGTTGTGTCGTTTAAAAATCACAAACACTTTTCCTTTCAAGAATATGCTTCTATTCTTTGGCACGTCTACACTTTCATGCTAAATATTAAAATTTTTATTTACAAAAAAAAAAATTAAAATTATTTAATCGAACATTAGATACTTTTTTTTCCCTTACTTTATTACTATGACTCATTCAATAATATCAGCCGCATAATTAAACGACTACCGAGTTTAAGAACATACTTTTAAGTGAAATTCTGTATTAATTGTAATGAATAACTTGAATTAATTCTTTAAAGGTAATTAAAAGATAATTCCTCTTTTGTAAGTAAATAAAAGATAAAAAAATCTTTTGCTTAATCATTATCACCCGTTAAATAAATAAATCTTTTTCTATATTTCATACTTCATTAAAAAAATATACTTATGAAATTAATTTAATTTACATATATAATAACTCCACGGTTATTTCATTTCGCTGTTGGACATAAAAGTGTTTTAAAAAAATGGAATGACTTTTTATCCAAACCAAAAGTTATGATGATAACTATTTTTTTTTTTTTTTTTTTTTTGGTAAACATGATGATAACTATTTTAAAATAGGTTGAAATTCACTAGTATTTTTATATTTCTCCTTATTATTATTTTCTAAATCAAATCGTTTGATTAAAAAAAATGAATGAAACCCCAATTTTTTTTTAAAATTTGAATTAAAGTTTTGTCCATCCCTATAAACATTGCTCCCTAAGTCTAAATTGTTGGTCTCATACTTGTTCGAATATGATGATAAGAAAAAACCATGTCTCTTTGTGTTTTTGAAAATCTGTTATAAGATTGAATATATAATGATTTGTGAAAAAAAATTTAATGCAATAATAATGAATAAATAAGTTTAGAGCTTTAACATTGTCAATAATGAAGAACAAATAAATAAAAATATTTTAGATTTCATGTAAAATTTTGGTGAACTGCCTAACTAGTACCAAGAGTTAACAAGTTTTCCGCACCACGAATCGCACGGCCCATTTAATTTCTAAGTTAAAAAGGTCAAATTTTATGGGCCTCTTACTTTTCACCCATCAACGTAAAATAATTTATTGTCTTCTTTCCAGAGTCAAAAGCTGAAACTCGCATCCCAAAATATCGAATATAAAATCATTATTATTTTGGACCAGATGGGTTATTTGTTGAGAAGGATGCATCACGGCATGGTGGGTTGGGAATTTCGAATTTGCAAGTTAACACTCAAGAGTCAAGAGACACCTAAGAGCAACAGAACATTTTCATTTAATTTACATTTCAAATGAAGGTACAAGTAAAAAATCATGTTGTATGGATTTTTATATTTAGTAAATAATTCAATATTTTATGATATCGTTTTATCTCTTTTAATATAATTTAGATATCATTATTCATATTTAATTTGATACCTAATTTTTTTAATTTATATTATTGTTATGTATTTCACTCAAATTAATTTGAGTTTTTTTGTGATATATTAGTAATGTTAAACAAATTTATATTATTAATTAATTATGTGTTGTCACATCATTAAATTTCAATGTGAAACTTTCTTAATAACATAACAAATTATTCAGTAATAACACAAGACTGTAGAAACAAGTGAAATTAATTAATGCTTAAATTATGAGTAATTCCAATTGATAACAAAACAATGAACGGCTTTGCTAATAAAATCAACTTATCTCTTTACATGGCTAAAAGTCTGTTTGAACGTGCTTTTTTTTAGAAAAAAACACTTCTCCGAAAAAATTTGTTTGGATGCTTGCTTTTAAAAAAATAGAAATTATAAAAAAAAATTAAAAACCTGTTTTTTCTTTTGGAAGCTAAAAATTTTAGTTTCAAAAAAAAGCAAAAATCAAAAATCAAATATTTTTTTAAAATTTAAATAGTTTTAACTTTTGTAAAAAATATATCTAAAGTAAGCAAGATATAAAAACCATTTTTTTTAAAGTTCATCCAAACGAGTTCTAATTTGGCAAAAAATAATACTGATTAAGTTGCGTATATATGATGGACATTTCTTGTGTGTCATATAGGATTCTAACATGTAAGCATTTCATATTTTTCACTAACAGCTAATTCATAAAATAACTAAATTGAGGCAAATTTTGATAAAAGCATACAGGATTTTTTTTTTCTTTTGGTATTTCGTAGCCAGTTATTCTGTTCATCAATTCCTGAACTATTTTATCATTTTGCCCCTCATTAATTAATTAACAACCATTTTGCCCCTGATTCAAAACTATCTACCAATTTATCCTCTTTAATCGATTAACTTGTATTTTTAATCGATTAAATGGTTGTTGGAAGATTTAATCGACTAAATCTCCATACTTAATCGATTAAAAAATCATACTGACTTGTTTCCCTTTGTTGCCTGTTGGGAGATTTAATCGATTAAATAGGGAGATTTAGTCGATTAAATCGCCCAACATCCATTTTTGCCTGTTTTGACCATTTAATCGATTAAAAATGTAAGGTAGTCGATTAAAGAGGGGCACATTGGTAGATAATTTTGAATCAGGGACAAAATAATTATTAATTAATTAATGAGGGGCAAAAGAGTGAAAAAGCTCAATTCCTGCGTTTTTTTTTTTTTTTTTTGGTTTTTTTTTGGTGTTGGGTTTGATCTCCTTCATCAGAAGGATGCATCCAGGGAATGCTTCTTCAAGCCTTGACCAATCAATTTTTGAGCTTGTAGGGATTTTTTTTTTTCAGTTATAAGTTATGTTTAAAGTAAAGCTAAAAAAAGAGCTTTAGAAATGAAGTTATAAATTATTTGATGATTATATAATATTTTTAATTTAAAAATTATTTAAAAGCTGTTCATTTAAAAAAAACAAAAACAAAAACAAAATCTGATACAATTTTAAATTTTTTCTCAAAAGAGCATTTATAAGAGCTTGTTTGATATAGTTTCTACCAGCAACGAAAAGAGAAGTTAAAAAAAATTCTCACGCACTTCAATTAACAGGTATTTTTTACTTTATCCGCCACTGATGGGCTATTATAATTCACCAATGCGAAACTCTCCGAACTCCGAAGTGTCATCAAACACTCTTTAATGACCACTTACATACAAGTAGAAATGGGATTCAAAAGTATTTAATTTTGACGGGTCAAGTTCCCCACACCATTTATATCAAAGTTTAAAATTTTGGTGGGGTATGTACCTCACACCTCAACAAACATTTAAAGTTAGAGTCTCTCTCACCCTTTCTCCATAAAATACTTATCCTAAACTCAAGTGCAAGATAATCAGATGTTACCTGCAAGGCTGCAACAATAACATTTCACAAAAAGCATAAAGTTTTTACAAACAAAACAATAATTAACACAATGCAGCGAGATAACGGAACTAGAAGAGGAACTAAATGACATCTAAGGTAGGCCATCTTCGGTAGTGGCAAGGGAAGGTGAAAGGGAATTGCGTGATTCATCAAAGTCCTCTCTGAGAGGAGATTGTTCCACCCTGATATCCTCAACCATCTTAACAACTTCCAACATGGTTGGTCTCTTCTCAGGTTGTGGAACCACACAAGCAAGCCCCACATTCAGCATTGAAACAAGCTCTTCCTCAATGTTCTTGTACCTCAACAGTTCCTGATCAAACACCTCTGATGTCCACTCTTCCTTCACAACCGACCCAACCCATTTGGGAAGATCCATATCCACATGATCTTGTCCCTCTAACTCCACACGAGGACGAGTTGGAGAAGGGTGCTGTGAGGGAGCTCTCCCGGTAAGAACTTCCAACACTAACACCCCGAAACTGTACACGTCAGCCTCCTGAGACAACCTCTTCATTTCAGCTTGTTCAGGAGCTCTGCACCCGCCCAACCTTGCAATGGCGTGAACCGGGTTCAACAGCAGTGACAATCCAAAGTCAGCGATGCAAGCAACCCCATTCTTGTCAAGAAGCACATTGGAAGATTTCACGTTCCCGTGAGGTATCTTAGCCGCACTATACTCTGCATGAATCCTAGCAAGGCCTCTTGCTGCCCCTAACACCAAGCTTATTCTTGTAGTCCAATCTAATGGAATCCTTCCTGGACCACGGTTCCCTGAAAAATCAAGGCTTATTATTATTTATAGTATTACATATATACATAGTATAAAAAAGCCTTACCCTTGAGTTGGGTAGAAATATTATTTTACATAATAACGGAGCCAAAGGTGGATTGACACGTCGATCCGAGTATTTGCACTAAATAAATGGAAGGACTCATATATCCAATGTCTTAAGATTTTTGAGTTAATTAAGATATAGTGTTGAACTCACTTGATATGATTGGACTAACTTAACTCATTAATAGTAGTCTTGCGCTATGGACTCCTCTTGGACCCCTTGCAATGGTATCAAGTCAAGACGACGACACGGTCGTAAAGATATTCGTAAAGATATAATATAAAACTATCGAAGACATATTACTTATTGTTTATCATAGTATCAGGATTTTTGTGACCATTGGATTATGAGTTCCATCTCACCGTCACCCATTTTTTATAGTTGGATTAAGTTGGGTAAAAATGGTTGCTTTACATATACAATTGTATATGATGTACAAAATCATTTTAAGTAAGCACTTAAATTGTTAGTTGAATGTGGTATTAATATAGACATTAGTTATATTTATAAGGATTTGGAATTATTTGTATGCATGAAGGAGGGAAGTAAGAACAAACCATGAAGGAGAGCATGCAAGCTTCCGTTGGGGAGATAATCATAGACAAGAAGCTTTTCTTCCTTAGCATAGTAATAAGCTCTGAGTCTAACAATGTTTGGGTGCTTTAGCTTCCCTACAACATCCATATACTGTTCAAACTCGTTCCTCTCGCATGGGTTTGCGTCTTTGAGTCTTTTCACAGCCACGGTGCATCCATCATCAAGCACTGCTCTGTAAACCGTACCCAAGTTACCTTTCCCGAGCATCTCTGCCGATGCTCGAAGCAGATCCTCAAGCTCAAACTCACTCCTCCTATCGAAAAACACAAGCTTGCTTCGCTCTGTCTCAGTGGTCCCATCACTATCTCTATCTGCAGCACCATTGCCATACACCTTCTTCTCGCTTCCGTTGCTACTCCCGCTCTTCCTTTTCCAACTCTCACTCTCCACCATCGAGTTTTTGGAGCTTCCTCCTCCTCTGGCGCAACAATGAGCCACCAAGAAAGATATCACCACCAGAACCGCCACAGAAACCGCCACCACTATGGCTACAATGGCACCGGGACTCAACCCCTTCCGTGGTTGGGTTTTGGAAGGAGGTATAACAGTACTTGTTTGTGGCAAAGAGCTTGGGTTTGAAGGAACAGTTTCTGTTGATGCAGAAGAAGGAGGAGTCTCATATGTCATGGAGCAATCGGGTAATGGAGTAGACCCACAAAGACCGTTATTGCCAGAGAAGCTTTCATTGCCGAATTTCTTTAACATTGCATCGGGTAAGCGTCCATGGAGCTCGTTGTTGGTCATGTTAAGCTCACTGAGATTCACCAGGGAAGAACATAGATCAGGGACTTGGCCAGAGAGCACGTTGTTCTGTAACCGAAGCGTGAGAAGATGTGTCAACTGTGAAAGTTCCTTGGGAACTTGACCGTGGATGTTGTTGTCGGAGATGTCAAGCCTGAGGAGAATCTTGAGGGAAGCTATCTCCGGCGGTATCTCGCCGGAGAAGTCATTGCCGGAGAGGTAAAGGAGCTCCAGGCTTGTGCAGTTGGAGAGAGGAGCAATGGTTCCGTTCAACCTGTTGTCGTGGAGGTCAAGGAGGCGCAAGTAGGTGAGCGTTGATAGAGATTCAATGGGGCCTCGAAGATTGAGGGAAGGGATAGAGAGGCCCACAATTCTGCCGTTTGGGGAGCACTGAACGCCGCGCCATGCGGCGGTGCAAGCATCGCCGCCGGTCCAGTTACTGACGAGATAGCCATGTGCGTCTGTTTGGAAGCGGAACTGGGTGAGGGCGAGTGTGTCATTCTGGGGTGCACCATGTGTCAGAGATGGTACAACACATAGAAAGGCCAATGCCAATGCCAGGTTTATTGGACAAACCTTGTTCATGTTATGGTGTGGGAAGAAGGAAGGGGGGGAACAATGCTAGTGTTTTAAATTTAAAATAAAGGGAAAGACAATTCTCATGCTTTGAGAGAGTGAGGATCATTTACAAAGGAGAAGAAGTTTGGGAATAGTGGCATGATTGGAGAGAGTGGGTGATTGAGAAAAAGGCATAGCATAGCTGTTATTATATTATATGTCATGGTAAGGTAATTAGGACTGACTGGGGAATATGATGACTAAAGGTGGAAGCTGGTTATGGGACATGGATGCGTATGGTAGTGTGTATGATTGCTATTGTCCCCTCCCTCAGAAGAAATGGAATGACTGACAATATTTTACTTTTTCTTTTGCTTGGCCTCTTCCTCTAAAGAAAAAAAATGCTATGGTGGTCCCTCATATTTGCAGTACTAAAGTACTATATGTCGAAGGAGGAATTTAGATAACAGAAAAACGCGCAAGAACCAAGATTAACAGTAAGAATGAAATGATAAAAATAAAAAAAATAAAAAAAGACCAAAAGTGAAGTCGAATACCTGTCATCTTACTGATTTTTAATAAGCTGCCAGTAATTAATCTATATTATTATCTTTTGTTTGCGCAAAATGATCGAAGTTTGCTGCATTATTGTGGCATAAACTAGTTCTGAGTTTTCCATAGAGGCTATTGCTCTCTGAGCCTCTGTTGTATCAGACTATCAGGTAATCGACCAAAAGCATGCGCAACAACAAAGCTAAATTGTAAATGGGTATCAATGACATTATTTCAATCTACTCGGCCTTCTCCTGAGGTAATTGGCTAAAATATATATCCTGTTGAAACTCAAGTTCATATATGAAAAGTAAATGTTTTACTTAGATATACATATCATCTACTCACAATATTAATTATGTTGTCATAATTCTCCATATTACTGTCTATTACATCTCTTTTCGGAATCAAATAATATCAAGCCGCAACCAAAGCTTCTGTGAAGATAATTGTTTTCGTTAATAATCTTCCCATCTCTTGAAGTGCACTGTGTTTTCAACTAAGTCCTTAGTTCTTGTCAAATTATTGAGTATTCATACTTCTTGTCAAATTAATGAGTACGCATATTCTGCTTGCAATGATGCATTTGATAAGGTTTTAATATTAATGAACATAACTACTCCAGTACCCACCCTTCTAAAGGTCAAAATTTTGAGTTATTAATTATTGAAGAGTAAAAGGGGTTGACTGTTGACAATCATCTAGAACCCAGCCTAAATAATTTTATGCGATTCTTGTGCTCCATTTGTTTTGTTTTATGTTCCTTTTCCTACTCACACAATATATTAATTATAATCCACGTAAACAGTGATTTCCTTTAAGCAAGTAAAGTGATATTTGAATTGGGTGCATGCAACATTTTATAGTGCGTATGTCTCTTCTTATCTTTATCTCACGTTGAGAGTTTATCTTTTGTCCTTTTCTGAAATCTTCTGGTGGGGAAAGAAGCAATTGAAAGTAAATGTTCCACAATTAAATATTACCAACAATTCCTTGTATTTCTATAAGAAAAGTCCTTTGAATTTGGATCCCACTTGTGTTGAGGCATTGAGCTGTGGACCACTATAGGCATTGACTGTGAAGCAATTAATCCCTGCAACTTTCACTGCTCATGATATATATTATTTAACCCGAATGAACATGATTTATTCTCTTGGACAAACTTTCGAGGCTTTCACCAAAAGAAAGTGGTTCATTATTTGGTTTGTCTGTTGCTCCTTCTCTTTTCCATGTCGTGGAAGAAAAAAGAGGCCTCCACTTTAAGTCATGAGCAAGCAATATTTTTCTCACATCAGACCCTAAAGTCAAGTCATCCAATTCAAATATTCAATAATAAACATGCAAATGCAAGGGACATGACTGAATTTCAAACTTAAATTTCATGAAAAAATTAAAGAGAGCATAAAATTGACATGGCTATGTCAAAAATCAAAATACACCAAATATAGTAGAATAGTCGTTTAAAAAAAAATTAGTGTTTGAAATTAGACTTAGGAGCTTCATTCTTCCTATTTTAGCAGAAAATTGTCACATAAATTGAAGGATCATTATAACTTGATCAGAGCCCCCCTTCCCCTCGTCTCTTACTGTGTATAGCTGTTGGGTTAGAGCATGTGGATCTTTGACAATCATAATATGCGATGATGCCATGATGGGTAAATGCCACATGGGTGGGACACTAATAGTACTCGTTCTCATTTCAATTCCCAGCCTTCCGTGGAGTTTCCATCAGTATGGTAATGGATGTTGTCGCAAAAAGTGAGGGAATTGTTTCAGCTTTTTTCCTCTCGGTGTTAATAGTTGTTGTTAAAGCAAAAGGGCTGATAAAAGCATAGGGTTCAAGGGCGAGATTGGCGTTCCAAATTTAAAGGTAGTTGATATTTTTCCAATTTACCTTTAGAAATAGTGTAATATAAATGATTTGCCAAATATTGGGTTTGATTCACTTCATTGATCTTTTGCTTGCTAGGATTTGGATTCAATTATAAGACAACTCATTACTATCTAACCTAATATGAATTAAACCCTAATTCATATTTTTCTTAAAAAAAAGTTATTACATATTTTTTAAATGCTGATTTTACAATGCTTTTTTAAGATAATTTAATAACGATGGTGCTTAGAACATTGCTTTTATCAGCGGTATCAGCAATAGGGTTCAGGATTGATTGCTTTTATCATTGGAAAATGGGGCGAAGAACAGAATCTGAGTATGAGAACTTTCAGCCTAGATACAAACGAAAGCTGAAATTTTAGTCTCCAAGCAGTCTATTTACATTTTTACATTTTGGGTATCAAGCATGCATATATACGACAAACCAAGTGTTAATAACTTGAGCTCATCTATGAGATAGCTGTGCTGTTATTGAAGACAGTGAGTGATATTAAATCACTATAAGAGATTTGAACTCATATATAAAGCAGAGAATGTAGATAATCAGAATTATCATTGTGTAATAATGAAAAATTAGAACAAACTTACTTGTCAGATTAATTAGACAGAATAATGATAATAAGCAGAATCAGAGGAATAAAAATCTGAGCCCACAGAACGTGTCTCCTTAAGACAATTTCCCCCCTCACTGATGCCTAAGGTTGATGGACACTTGTCTCCCAGGATAGAACAGATTTCGTCTGAAGAGTGGTGGCACTACCAGTCAACAGCCCAAACGAACACAACAATTGCCAGAGGAAACTATACCGGAGGATGAACGAAAGTATGCAAACCGAAAGGAAGGAAAAAATCCAGCAGAGTTTCGGTGCAGAAAAAATCGGATAAATTTCTGAAGGTGTCAGTGTCTAATTATAGACACTGACCGGTTACGATGAATCGTCGCCAGCGGCAAACCGCCGTGTCTGACGGCAAAGAACGGGTGCGACCGGTCGCCTTCGATGAGCAGACACAACTGTTGACCGGTTCGCAAAAGGTAAGAACCGGTTCAGTTCAAAAACGCTCAAAAAACCGGCGGGTAGAAATGTTTGGGTTTTGGACAAAAAATTAAAAAATTATTTAATAAAAAATTATTTTTACTACACATCTATGAACAGAGCCGAGCGTGTGGTGGACCAAAGCCCACCTAACTCCTCCCCCTTCACAAAATGTGTAGTGACCCAAGGGTCAATCTAAGAAAATGAGGTGACAGCTTATAAACTCTCCCACTTTCAACTAGTTGTCCAATGTGAGACTTGTTAAAACCCACACATTCCTCCAACTTCCCTTTTCTCTTTTCTTTATTAATCCACTTCTTATTCATAACCAATAGATCATTGTTCATTAATTCTAACATGTGCTTCATGCCCCGACAAAGAATTCTAACATTGTTCATTAATTCTAACATGTGCTTCATGCGCGTGTGGTGTTCATGGATCGAATCAAACCTATTCAAGTGAATCAAAAAATTCATAATCGAATAGATCGAAAATCGAAAAAAAATTCGCTTATTTTAATTGAATTTGATCGATTTTTGATTTGGTTGGTGAAAACCGATCCAATATATTAATTATTGATAGCAAATTATTTTGTTTTAGTTTTTTATTGTTTATTAATCTATTTTAACTCTTCATAAGTTTTAAGACTTGTTTTAATTTGAAGACTTAAATTTTTTAATGGTTTATAACTTTAAATGACTTTATTTTGATATAGCTAGTGATTTGTATGATTGAAATTTTAGGATTTTTGAAAAATCGAAAGTCAATTCAATTCAAACCGAATAAAATTGGATTGGATTAGATCAGATGATTTTTGCTTTAAAATCAGTCCAACCCACCCATATCTCTTATGTGAAAAAATTATGACATGGTCATGTGAGAAGATCACAACTATACAAAGATGAATCAACGATTATGATTTTGTAACTACCTATTTTAATATATATTTTATATCTTTCTTCCTTTATTTTCATTGATCTATCTTTGTATGATTATGATTTCTATCTTTGTATGATTATGATTTCTCACATGACCATGTCATTTTTTTTAACATGAGATGATCTAAATCCCAAAAACTATGTCAGATTGCAAAGATAATTATTGATTTTTACTTACATTTATTGATGCAAGTGGCCCGATTGAGGGATTTTTTTCAAACATGAGTACCAAATTCGCTCCCAAATTGGAAATATTTCATTGCATTTGAATCCATATCTTTATTTATATTTCCCTCTAATTATTGCTACTTTACTCTTTTTAAAAATGATGTAGGTACCAATATTATTAAATTCGGCTCGATTATTGACTCGGTCGAGATACTAGGTCAGTGAGTCACTGGTTCAACCAGTGGGTTACTAAGTCAATCGTATGATCTAGTAAGTTATGTAAATTTATAATATATTAAAAAAATTATAAATATATTTAAATACATGTAAAAAAATGATACCAGTTTCAAATACTTAAATACCTGGTTGTGGAGGTTTCTAGAGTTTTATCTACATCTGTGGTGGATACAAGTAGTTTTGAGGCTATGAATGAAACTTGTA